TGCTGCTGGTCGTGCTGGTGGTCAAGCTGGTGATGGTCATGGCGGATGGCCGTGCTGGTCGTGCTGGTGGATGTGCTGGTGTTCGTGCTGGTGGTTGGTCGTGCTGGTGGTCGTGCTGGTGGTCGTGCTGGTGGTCGTGCTGGTGGTCGTGCTGGCGGCTGTGCCGTCGACCAGACAGTGTGGGGAGGGAGGGGAAGTGAGGGAGGAGGAACTCCTGACGTCGTGGGAAGCTCTTGCCAGCCTAGGCGTTCAGAGCCTCCTACGCCACCGTCTCGCCTGAGCATGCGTTGGCCGCCACCTGGAGCTCTTGGGAGCCTTGGCCGCCGCCTGGAGCTCTTGGGAACCATGGCGTGAAAGACGCGCCCGTCACCGGGGGAGTCTGGGGCTGTGGCCGTCACTGTGCGGTCGGGGCGCGAGGGCGCACAGAACCGTCCGTGCTGAGGTGCTTTGTGGTAAGAGTTCGATGCGTCGTCTGACGAACATCGTGCAAGCACCGTGCGGAAATCGATGAGCGTGGGCTCTCCAAGCCTTCTCGGGTGCCCTCTCGGGGGCCTCTTGGGCCGTCTTGGGGCCCTTGTGGGCTGCCCCGGGGCCCTTTTGAGTAGTCCTGGGGGGCTTTGGCTTTGGTCGTGTTGAAGCCTTCTTGGGCCCGTCTCGGGGCCCCACCCCGGGCACGCCTTGGGGGGAGGTTTCTTCGGGCCCTCTTGGAGCTCGTTGGGAACCCTTTGAACCCCGTCGGGCCGTCTTGGGGCCCTCTTGGGCCGCCATCTTGAGGCCCTCCTGAACCGTCTTGTGGCCCTCCTGGCGACCTTGTCGACTGTCTTGGGAGGATTTGAGGGGCCTCTTGGGTGCGGGAAGCCTAAAGAAGTGAGAACCGTTAAAACTGCCTCATGTTTGTGGCCTCGTGAGGCACTCTTGGAAATTACCTTAAGGGCCTCGTGGGATATCTTGGGGCCCTCTTGGCCCGTTTCGAAGCCATCATAGACCATATTGGAAAGCTTTCGGGCGGTCTTGAGCTCTCCTGGCGTGCTCTTGAGCATCTTCTGGGGCCAGTCGTGACCCGTCCTGACCGTACTTTCGGGCAGAACTCATCAAAGGGTGCCGAGTTAGGTGACGGCCATCCCAGGGTGTCCTTTATCTTTTTTTTTGTTATAGAGAAGAGGAATATGAATGTAGTTATACACATATGTAGGCATGTATGTATCATTAACTATCCTTATCTTTCTCGTTCTCTGTCTCTGTCTCTCTGTCCCTCTCTCCCTCTTTCTCTCTCCCTCGCTTACTCTCTCTCTCTCTCTCTCTTTCTGTCTCTCTCTCCCCCCTACTTCTCGTCGTCATGACGGCCCTGTGCGACACTCGGAGGACCAAGGTGCATGATGGCGCGAGGCGGCAATGCACTCCTGCACACGCACGTGTCGCCGCGACGCTCGTCCTCGACGCGCCCACATAGCCGACACCGCGGCGGACCCTGCGTCCCGCGCCACCCCAAGTGGACGAGGCTGGCGCCGCGGCAAACCCCGCGGCAAGCCCAGAGGCCGCGGCGCCAGAGGCCGGAGGCCGCGGCCTCTGGGGCAAACTCCTGCTCCTCCTTCTCCTTCTCCTTCTCCTCCTCCTCCTCCTCCTCCTCCTCCTCCTCCTCCTCCTCCTCCTCCTCCTCCTCCTCCTCCTCCTCCTCCCCCCCCTCCTCCCTCCTCCTCCTCCTCCTCCTCCTCCTCCTCCTCCTTCTCCTCCTCCTCCGGGTGGTGCCCCGGGCGGAGTTTGCCCCAGAGGCCGCGGCGCCCTCCCGTGGGCGCAGGGCCGCGCGTCGGAACAAACGGCGCGTCGACACGTGCACGCACGAGTGCAAAACTTCGCTGGCTCTTCGCGCCGCGCACTTTGGCCCTGCAAGGTCGGCATGAGGACGGGATGAGAGAGGTATGCGCATAACTGACGGTGTTAACTCCTTGTCCCCTTTGTCATCATCGTAGTAATATGACAGCACGATTCTTCCATCTCCTTCCCTCATATATCCTCTTACTCTTCCTCGTTCTCGCCCTACCCCCTACCCTGCGAACCCTTCCCCGCCCTCCTCAGCTTTCTCTTGCGGAAGGTCCTCCCGGGAGAGCCTCTTGGGAGGCCTCTCGAAAGTTATTCACGGGTTTCTTAAGGGCCTATGGGAGCATCCTGGGCGCCTTTTGGGTGCCTCTGGGGCCTTCTTCGGGCCACCTTGCTGCGAACCACGGTCTCCGTTTACGATCAGGTCACGATTTGCTTCGGGGGCCTCGTGGGGCCATCTTGGGCTGTCATGGCACACTCTTCGGGCCATCTCTGGGCCCAGTTGGGCCACCTTGGAGCTCTCTTGGACTGTCTGGAAGCCGTTGAAGCAGTGTGGTGATGAGTTCAATTACCCTTGAGGCGTTCTCGGACGCCAGAAGACCGAAGAGCCGAGCATCAACCGATAATGCACAAATATGAAGGAATCCTCCTCCCCCTCCTCCCCCTCCCCCTCCCCCTCCTCCTCCTCCTCCTCCTCCTCCTCCTCCTCCTCCTCCTCCCCCTCCTCCTCCTCCTCCTCCTCCTCCTCCTCCTCCTCCTCCTCACGCTTGGGAGCGTTCTTTGGGCCGTCTTCGGGCGCCTAGTGGGTGTCTGAGATTCCTTGGGCTATGTTGCTCCCATCGTACTCGAGGACCACATCCCAAAAATAAGTTCGAGCACCCAGAAGAGCATCGAAACGGTGCCGAACGAGCCTCGCATCCCAGGGCCCGACCCGTGAAAGCCCTCAAGCTTAGGCACTTCCCGGGTGCTCGAAACTCTTTCGGGTGGGCAAGGCGAAAATTGGGTCGGGCGTGTCCCCCTGCAGGCAGATTTTGGACGAAACATAGAAGACAGCAAGACAGATCTTCAAAACGGATCCAAAATGGTCAAACAGCCGTGCCCAGACTGTTCCTGTACTGCTGCTGGCTCCTCCTCCTGCAGAGGGACACGCCCGACTGCGGGCCAGAGGAGGCTGGAGCATCCTCATGCCCTGGGGCGCTCGCGGGGCCGGCTGGCCGCCCTTCGGAGGTCCTCGGGGAGGAGGGGGGGGTCGGTCTGGGGGCCCCGCGGGGCTCCAGGGATGCCCGGGAGGCGCCCGGCCTCGGAGGGCGGGGGGCACGCCCCTCTTTTGGGGCCTCGGGGCCCCGCGGGGTTCCAGGGATGCCCGGGAGGCGCCCGGCCTCGGGAAGGCGGGGGGCACGCCCCGCTTTTGGGGCCTCGGGGCCTCATGATTGTTCGCGGGCGGCAGCGTGCGCGGCGCCCAGGGCGGCCACGCGCGCACACTAGGGAGAGGGGTTCGCGCGGCGACCTGTCGACAAGTACTGTTCGGCCACGCGCAGAGGGGGGCAGGGGGAGGGCTTCTTGGAAGCACCCCTGCTTCTCAGAAGCGGCGGGCCTTGGGGCCTTGTCTCTAGATGTAGGGCCCGCGCCTTGTGCGGCTTCTCGTTGCACCCCTGGTTCAGATACCGTACATTACCCGCCTGTCGAGAGAGCCCTGCACTTCAGACACAGACGCAGCACCGTGCCGCCCGAGCAGGACAACACAACGCACTCGTGGCCAGGCTCAATGGACCTTGTGCCATGGAGCTTCTGCGTCTTCCTGCAGTCACTGCTGGGAAACCCTAAAGATTCTAGGGCTTCAGAACTGTAACGAATAACCCATGAATGCGGTCGGACCCAGGACAGAAGAGCATCCCTCAAGAACGTGAGGCCCCCCGCCCGCCGGACTGAAGAGCACTCCAGGGTGCCCTCCCCCGGGGTGCACAAGAACATGCAGCAAGCACGAAGAACGTGAGGGTACCCTCCCTAGGCCGGCCTCGAGAGGAGGAGGAGGAGGAGGAGGAGGAGGGAGGGAAGGAGGGAGGGAGGGGAGGGAGGGAGGGGAGGGAGGAGGAGGGGGGGGAGGGAGGTGAGCCTCGGCCTGAGCTTATGCCTCGATCCGGCCGTATGAATATGTGTTGATGTATCGGCGGCGAGCCCAGGGGGGGAAATGAGAAGGAGAAGGCATCCTCAGAAGGCTCGGAAGTCCCCCTTGCCTTCCGAGAAGGCTTCACTGAGCCCTCCCCGACGGCGCAGAAGACCTCTCGGACGGCCCGAGGGCTTCTGCGAAGCCCCGCCGCCTTCTGCGAAGGAGGAGGTGGAGGAGGAGGAGGAGGAGGAGGAGGAGGAGGAGGAGGAGAGGAGGAGGAGGAGGGGGAGGAGGGGGGGGGAGGAGGAGGGAGGAGGAAGAGGAGGAGGAGGAACGAGGGAGGAGGAGGAGGAGGAGGAGGAGGAGGAGGAGGAGGAGGGGCCTTCTCCTTCTCACTCCCCCCCCTCGCTCGCCGCCGCATTCGCCTTTTCGGTCACGACTCGGGTCTCCGGCGGGCGCTCGGGAGGCGGAACGCCAGCGGCGAGGCGCAGCTGCCGGCGAGCACCCCGAGGCCGGCAAAAACCGCCGAAGAGCCGGCGAGAACGCCCGAAAACCTCGAACCTCGAGCCAAAACAGGGCCAAGGATGGGGATAAGTCGCTCCAGAGCGTTCCGGAGCGCTCTCAGAGCGTTCCGGAACGCTCTGGAGCGGCCGCGGCGCCCGATACGTCCTCCGAACCCGCCGACTCTCAGAGATTTCGAGTTCTCCCGATCCGATGTTGTCCCGATCTTCGCGTCGTTTTACGCACCTCGAGCCCGAAACTTCCCCCCCCCTCGCGCTCTCGCTCGCCGCCGAGGCGCATCCCACGGAGCTTCCCACAGCCGAGCGCGGGGTAGGGCTGCCGCGCTGCTCCCGGGGCGCGGCGCCCCGCGCGGAGGGTGGCCGTCGCTCCCCAGGACCCCTTCCCCGCCCTCGCGCAGGCCGTTCCCCACACGCCGCGTCGCCGTCGTCGTCGTCGTCGTCGTCGCCGTCGCCGCCGCCATCGACGTCGTCGCCGCCGTCGCCGTCGCCGTCGCCGTCGCCGCCGCCGTCGTCGCCGCCGCCGTCGTCGTCTTCCCGTATCTCCTCCCCTCGTCTGCCCCCTCGCCCGGTGGGTTGCCCCCGATCCAGCTGCGGTGGCCCCTCAAGAATCTTCATGCCGATCGCGTTCTCCATGTCGCCGCTGAGGGATTGGTTTCAACATCGCAAGGAGAGGATGCGATGCGACCACCGTGGCGGACGGCGTCCGGGCCCAGAGCAGACCAGGTGGGCGAGGCCATGGCCTCTAGGATCTGAGGTGTCTGGATTCATGCGGTGCGAGACATGTAAAGAGTTAGGAGGAGGAGAGGGGGAGTTAGGAGTTGGTGTCGGTGTCGGCGCGGGTTGGGCGGAGACGTCTCGATATCGCAGGGAGAAGAGCATCCCACGACAGGCGCGGTCACACGGACGTGGTCCCGTGAGCGCTGCTGCGGGCGGAGAGGGGCGGGGCAGGATGCCGGACGGCGCGATGGACGCTGCACGTCCTGAAACCACCGCGCCCCCGAACTCGCAGGGATGAGGGCTCGGGGGAAGGAGGATGACCAGGACCGAAGGATGGGGAGGAGAGGAAACAGAGGCGAGGGGGGCACAATAGCACGAAAGAGAAACACGATGGGACTAGCAGGGGGAAGGTGTCGCTGCAATCGCCTCCTCGTTGTCCTTCTCTCCTTCTCCTATTCCTATTCCTCCTCCTCCTCCTCCTCCTCCTCCTCCTCCTCCTCCTCCTCCCCTCCTCCTCCTCCTCCTCCTCCTCCTCCTCCTCCTCCTCCTCCTCCTCCCCCTCCCCGTCCTCCGCCTTCTCCTCTTCCCTCTGGCCTCATCCGCTCTTCTTCCTCCTGCGCCCCCGTCTTGGAAGGCGCGCGCAAAAAAAAAAAACAAAAAAAAAATCACCCAATCCGAAGTCCTTCCCCCCACACCTGACTGCCCTCTTCCTCCATTGCCGAACTTGCAAGCCGCAGCGCCAGACGAACGGTCCCTTGCACAAGAACGCTCGTGCGAGGGAGCGTGTCCCCTTGATGACGACTTGCTGCTTGAGTGAGGAAGAGCGTTTGCCACGATCTCCCCGTCGACGGGCACGCCACCGTGCGCTCGAACAGCGCAGCCGGTCCACGCCTACGCGCGCGCGCCTGCTGCTGGCGAGCGCGCACGCGAGAGGCTGCCAGCTGTCCAGTCCGACCACGCCACAGGCAGCCAGCCCGGTGCTCAGCCAAGGATGGGGGCACAAGCCATCCCAGCAAGGTCGGAATGCAAGCGTGCCAATGTCGCCGCTGCTGTTGCTGCTCCGCGTTTTCCCCCTCCTCCTCCTCCCCCTCATCCTCCCTTTCCTCCTCCTCCTCCCTTTCCTCCTCCTCCTCCCTTTCCTCCTCCTCCTGCTCCTCCTCCTCCTCCTCCTCCTCCTCTTCCTCCTCCTCCTCCTCCTCCTCCTCCTCCTCCTCCTCCTCCTCCTCCTTCACCGTCAAGTTGCAATTGGCCAACGTGGGTGCCGCCACGCTTGGTGTTCACGGTGCTGGCGTATGACCAGCACCTTCTTGATTGAACGAGTGTCTACGCATCGGCATGCTGCAAAGCTGGAACAAATCGTGGTTTGGTCCCAGATAATTTTCAGGAAGTATCTGGGTGTCTCGCGTGAGAACCCTCAAACATCTGGGATCTAATCCTTGGATGCCAGGGCCCGCACTCCCCAGGTCGATAGGAGCGGCACGCGGACTGGGCCCCAGACGACGACCGGAGGCAGCAAACGCCAAATGACAGAATGATGACGATACAACGAGGACGATGACGAAGACGATAACGACGACGATGACGATGACGTCATCGTCGTCGTCGTCCGTCGCTGCCGTCGCCGTCGCCGTCGTCGCTGTCGCCTTCGTCGTCGTCGCCGTCGTCGTCGCCGTCGTCGTCGTCGTCGTCGTCGCCGTGGTCGTCGTCGCCGTCGTCGTCGGGCGAGGCACCGACGAAGCCGGGGGCGCCCCCCGAGGGGCAGCACGCGGGCCGGGAACGCGGCGGGGAACGCGGGCGGCCGAAGAGAGCGGCGGCAGAGGCGCGGCGGGTGCGCTGGGGGGCAGGCCGAGCCCACGGCGGGCCACGAGGACGCCGCTTGCGAGGGCGGAGAGCAGCCCCGGGGGCCGACTCGGCGGCGCGCCCCAGGAGGAGGAGCGCGGCGCCTCGCGCGAGTCTCCCGAGCGGCCGCGGGGGCGGCCGGCGAGCGACAGCACGGCGCCCTCACGCCGCGATGGCGGAGAGGGCACGGTCGAAGACAGCGTGGAACAAGACCCACTCGCAGAGGAAGAGGGCCAGGGGCGCGTCGACGTAGGCCAACACGCCGCCGACGAAGCAGGCGCCGCCGCCGAAGAAGACGCCGTGCCACCAGCCGGCCTCGGAACGGCAGCGAATCACGACATGGTCGATCATCGCGCCGCGTGGCTGCGAGAGGGGCCACCCTGCGGGAGCAGCGCCACTAGGGCGCGGCGGGCACGAGGCGCCAGCCCCTTCTCGACTCGCCTGATCGCATCTTGCTGGTTGCGGCGCGTGGACTCGTTGGGCGAGAGCCCTTCGAACCACAAGCCAAGCTTTCTCACTGCGCGGACATCGCCCGCAGCACAGTGGGAACCGCAGCGTCTGCAACAGTAGACGTCGTTGCCCCTGAACACGTCGTGCCCAAGAAGGCGCCACCTACCTCCTCGGCCAGGGCAGGTGGCACCAGGGCCGCGGAAGCCGAGGACTGCGAGCTCCCTTCGAGCGCCAAGGCCGCGCCCATGGCCATGCCAGCCCTACGGTCGCTGCAGAGGACCCAACCCTCGCCAAAGGTGCGGATGTACTCGGCGTTGAGAGCACTGGCGACACGCGAAGGCCGATATACACGATGAGAGCCAGTTTGCAGCGAATTGAGGGAGGAGCCTGTTGTGGCCGTGACACCGCATTGGGTACATCGGTACCGCCTGAGGCTGGCACAGTAAGCCAGGACATGGTCCGTGCTACGTGCCACCACAATGTCCCTGGCCTGCTCGCAAGGCGGCCTGGGGACCTCCACGTCGCATCCCCATTGTTTGCGAGCCACCACCTGCAATGCCGCCCACAAAATGAACTGCAGGACCTTGCGGTGCTGTTTCAGCGCAGCAGTTGCCGCCTCGGCAACCGACCCAGCCAGCGCGTGAGAGGCCGCACCGCAGCACGCGAAGTCGTCTGCCCAGCCGTTGCCAAGCCAGTCACGCAGCTCCCGCGGTTCTGTGCCCACAAGCTCCTCCAAGGGCCTGTGCGCAGGCGCCCACCGGAACTTGGGGGGTCACGTAGAGTGCGTCTGCGGCTGGCCACGAAGATGTCCCGCCACGCTCTAGCATGCATGGCACGACCCTGTTCGAGCTCGGGGCACCAACGCTCTCCTTCCTGGGCGAGCGCCAGCAGATCAGTGACGAAGCACTGGTGGTCAGGGAAAGCGTCGAGCCCCTCCCTGATCGCGTACCTCTCAGCGCGGCCAACAGTCTGCACCAAGTACGGGAGGGGCCCGACCCGCGCCCGACCTGGGAGCCAAGAGTAAGGATCAAGCTGCACAACAGCTTGTCCACACCTCCGCACCTCGGGAGCACCCGAGTCGTAGCTAGACCCGCCGGTGTAAGAGACGAGGCCCCAAACGCCATGGGCGTCGCCCCAGAGGCAGACATCATGCCTCCACGTGTCTGCGCGTGGCAGATAGGCGGGAGGCTCCGGCATGCCAGAGACGAGGTAGGACTGCTCGAAATTCGGCGTGTCTGATCCAAGACCCGCTTGGATAAGCTGGTCGCGCACCTCAGCCAGCACTTGGGGGAGGTGGAAGATACCGCGGCATAATGCACCAGGCGACGAGGCTGAAGCCGCCGCCGCAAGGGACAACAGGTCACTCCGTTCCGACGCAGCCGGTGGCGTGCAGAGGACACTCTGCGCGTCTGGCCGCACCACCTCCTGATGGCCCAAGGTCGACCACTTCGTCAACACCTTGCCCGACGCCAGGAAAGAAATCGCCCTCGGCCCCCATGGTGCTGTGGTGCTGGGCGCAGGTGTAGGACGGTGGGGTCGGGTCGGCCCGACTCAGGAGGTGGTCGCGATCCTGCTGGCGCAGGTCGCCTAGACCCTGCTGTATTTCAGGGGTCCTTGGACATGGCCCATGGCCTTGGACATGGTCCGTCGGCCCCTGCTCCATGGGTCGCATTTCCCCTTCGGGGGGGCTGGCCAGCGGCGCGGGACATTCCAAGAAGACATGGCCCCAGCACTCATCGGGCGCAAGGGCCTTCCCGCAAGCCTGACAGGGACGCATGGGCCTGCCGAGCTTCATGTCCCTGCGAATCGGCATGGGTACGTTGTCAGACCATAGCGCCTGCAACGCTCCCAGCTGCCTTGCGGCACGGGCATCCTTGACCGCATACCTGAGCCCACGGTGCCAGATAGACGCGCCAGCGTGGGCGTTGGTGAGGCGGTCACGCTGCCAGCGCTGCACGCCTTGCATCAAGAAGGGTCGCAGGTCAGCAGGGCACACGCGGTACAGGTCATACTGGCTGCCCAAGTCGTCCTGCAAGATGCGTGGCGATTTCATGTCCCAGGCCAGCCGCCTGAGCGTCAGTCACGTCGCGGCCAGGGGACCTTTGGCATTGGCCCAACTGATTGGGACAGCCCGCTCATGGAGCGCTGTCCAGGCCCTTTGAAGGCGGCTGGGTGACGTGCGCCCATCCCAAATCCAGGCGGCGTAATTCAAGACCAAGTCCAGCGTGGCATGGTAGATGGGATCGTACTCCTCCGACGGGTGAATAAGGAGGTATGCCGTGACACCCACATGGTGTTTGTCACTGCGCCCTTTAAGTACCGCAGCCAAGTTGCGCATCTCGCGTAGGGGCGCGTCCGCCAACCCCGACACTCCAGCCCCGTGCCCTGCAGACGGCATGAGCCCAAACCGCCACAGGGTGGAGGCCTTGCGTCCTACCGCACGACGCAGCATGAGGAGTCGGTGCTTGCGCTCCAGCACGGCCTTCATGCGCTTCTTTTCAACCTTCTTTAGCACCCGAGGGCCATGCAGCTCATGGCCAAGGTTGCGCATATGTCGGGCTTGGGGCACCGCCCGAGGCATCCGCCGCTGGACTCTACGCACCACGAGGCGGACCTGCGCTGACCCAGCCACCA